GAGAGAGAGAGAGAGAGAGAGAGAGAGAGAGAGAGAGAGAGAGAGAGAGAGAGAGAGAGAGAGAGAGAGAGAGAGAGAGAAGTGTAAACAGAGGCCAAACACCGTCTTTCGCACATGCTTCAGCAAATTTTCACTTGACCCCGCATGCACTGAGCTCAGAAGAAACGCGCATTGCCGTAAACGGAGAAAGAGCAAAAGGATCCGACGTAAAGTGCGTGAAAGAGGAGGAAAAAGGAGTGCGACGAGCAAACGCAAGAGGGAGGGAGGAGGAGGAGAGGAGGAGAGGAGGACGAGGAAGAGTGAAGATCATACTCACGCTCGGATGTGCTGGACGTAACGTATTTGACTCCACTACGGGCAGATTGAGTCGAGGTAAATACGGGCAGATTGAGTCGAGGTAGACAATGCAAATAGTGAGTCGGGGTACACAATGCAAAAAATCTTTTAGAAGTACACAGCCGGGGGCAAGGTCCCACTTGCGCAAATTACGAGATTTCGGCCGCTGATCGTTGTTATCTACGGTCAATATCTGTTAATCCGCTCTAGGGCTACGATCTGCGCTATCTACGGCTATGATCTTTGCTGTCCATTTGGGGGGGCGGGGAGGAGGGAGATAAATTCTCTCTAGGTTGGATACTCCACTACAGAGCACTCTCTATGGACTCGTCAGAATGCACCTGGTCCGGAAATCATCAAGATGCATGTCGCATGTTCAGTAGTAAGAAAAGTCTGCCGTAGTCAGATAGGAAAAACGAACAGAAATTGTGCACCTCGCCACACCACTGTCGACAAGAAAACGAGGGAATCTTCACCCGGAAAAGGCCCAGATGCATTTGTTACTATTACTAGCAAATACCTCTTACTTGCCACTCTCTGTGGCAGATGCATTCAGATGCGTTCGTTCTCTTTTCGTTCGACACTGGTGTGGCGAGGCACTATGGGACTCGCTGCACTACTCTCGAAATGCACAACAGACAAAAATCATGGCGGTGTATGTTTCCATATTCTAGACGAAGATTCACTCTCGTTTTGCACATGTGCCACCCCTGAGACTCGACTCCCGATCTTCGGCTTACGGCTTTTGATTCTCAGGGGTGGCATTGGACAAAGACGAACGCGGGGGGCCTAGCCACACACCAGTGTCCAAACGGAAATAGTTGGAGGGCATCTCCGGCAGAGAATGGCAGGATGCATCCAGTACTACAGTACTACGAATGGCAAAGGGTGCCCCTTACCATTTTTTTTTTCTCTTTTTTTTTTTTTTCCTTTTTTTTTTCTAAGCTATATTCTTCTCTCAAGTTCACCTCACACTACCTACCTGCCACAGCTCCTAATTATAGTCATACGGGGAACCCCGTAGCAGCCAGAACAGTGTTCAGGAGAGAACATGCCGGGGCGGCTCCGGACCTGCAGGTGGGCTATACCCGCTAGGGGACAGCCGGTAGCATCAGCGAGCAAGCCTACAGGACCAATCCCTGTGCCTCCCCTCAGGTGGTGGTCCCCTCCCCTACGAACATCAACAGATTCTGCTCAATGTCTCTAGGTGGCGGGCGCCAAGCATGCCCAGGAAGGTAGATCCAGTGGTCTATCTCTAGGTGGCGGGCGCCAAGCATGCCCAGGAAAGTACATGCCATTGGGGATTGAACCCACGACCTCCTGAATGCCACTTGCGAGCCTTACCAACTGGGTTGGGCGGCTGGATCCCCTTACCAACTGAGTCTTTTTTCCGTTTGGACAGTGATGTGGCCGGGCCCATTCACATAAGTTGGGGGACCTTGGAGAATGCACCACTTTCTTATGTTTCCATTCACACAAACAGGGCTGGGCTATTAGATAAGGGGTGCTCCTAAGAAGGGATGGGTGTCACTAGCAGCCCTAAGGGATATTGGAGCACCAAGGTGATTTTGAATTGGCCGCAGCCCCGGGGAACAACAAACAGCAACCTGTGAATTGTATGATGTATCAAAGGGACGCTGGACCCGGTTTCCAGCAGGTGCTGCTCCCCACCAATAGATGGAGCCTCCCCGACGGTGCTA